TAGACTAACACATTTTATCGGGCAGGACATAAGATGGACTGCATCTTACAGTGTAACATTGGTACTGCTGTTGTTCTCTGCCGTCAAGTCGGGACCAATCGCTAGCTCCCTTAATTTTCAAGGTAAGTGAGATATTTAAGGAGTGCCTGTACCACTGCCACACCCCCAATGAGTTTCCATGGCTGAGTGGGGATTTGATCCCAAGGCCTCCTGAATCCTAGTCTATCACTCTATCTACCACACCACACTGAGTATCCCAAAACTGGTATACTCTTATGTTTTTAAAAAGAACTAACTCATGAAAAATGCTGCCCAATTAATGGAAAACGGCCTCCTGAATCCTTGTCCATCACTCTATCTACCACATCACACTGAATATCCCAAAACTGGTATACTATGACGTTTTTAAAAAGAACTAACTTATGAAAAATGCTGCCCAATTAATGGAAAACATCATTGACTTAGTAATTGAGCAGCTTCTTAAAATACTGCTTAATTTTTATGGAACAACTTACAAAAGTCTGCAGGCTTTTTTTTTGGAAGAGGCTGGTGCCCTTCATTCCTGCACAAGAGGGACCATCGTCATCATCATCTTAGAACTGCAGAACTGGAAGGGATCCTACGGACCATCAAGTCCAGCCCCTATCAAGGAGGCCCAGTAGGGAATCAAACTCCCAACCTCCGGCTCCACAGCCAGAGACCTAAACCACTGAGCTATCCAGCAATTCTTAGGAAATGTCATTCAGGATTGTGAAGAAACATTGCATGGTATGGAGGACATCAATTTTGTGTTTGGGTCGCTCACCCATTTCCCTTGTGACTTGCTGCCATCCATGGTGGCTTAGGGATGCTGGGTGTTGTAGTTGAAAAACATACATACAGTTCTGGCCAGAGCTGGCAGGTTTGCTTCTGGCTGCACTTGTGGGCTTTAAGGGAAAGGTTACCTGCTACAAAGTTCCCTCCATTTGATGGTGTCAAGGTACTAGATCATATTACACATTTCAAGTGAAATATCTGTAGTATTTTGCTGTTGCTGTTTCCATGTTCATCCAATGAAGGTTAAAAGAAAGAAAGAAACCGATTTTTAACAAAGAAGTCTGGCACACAGATCTGGCCATGATCTGAGTTTTCATGGGTTCCCCCCCCGCCCCCCGAGCCATCCACAGCTCCATGGTGCCCAGTCCGACGAAGGCCTCAATGGGATCAAAATCTAGCTTATATCTGTGAATTATTATAATTTTTAGTGGCCTGCCTATGTGATTCTGGGCAAGCTGCTCAGGAAGAAGGGAATGGCCAACCACCTCTCCACCTGGCAAATCCTGAAAAAAAAGTTGCCATAAATCAGAATTGACTCACCCATGATGCTTGTACGATTAACAAAGATTTGGATTATATTTTGGACAGAGTCTTTCGGAGAGCCCTCTTTCATAGGGTCGCCATAAATCAGAACGGACATGATGGCCCATGATGCTTGCATCATTAATAAAGATGTGGATCACAGGTAACAACAACAATCCTAATAAAAAATTATCACTTACTCTTGCCTTCGGATTGTGTCCAAGAAGGAGACCGCTTCCCCACCCCCCACCCCATTTCGTTCAACGTGCTCCGTCCTTCTTAGGCCTTTTCCAGGAGGGTCTTCCCCTCTTCTCCTTTTAGAGAGACCCCCCCCCGCAAAAAATAAAGATGTTGGGATGCTTTTGAAAACGATGGGGTCCACCTCCAACCCACCCCGCTCAGATCT